ACATAATTTACTTTTAACTGCGATATTACTTATTAAATAGAAAATATTTTTCTTTGTTTTGATTAGCTCTGTAAAGATATCATGGTTTGCTCTAATTTGTTTTATAACTCATTTAAAAAATAATGTATTACCTAGTAAAGACTAGTTTGTATTTTATTTTATATCTCTTTAATTATTAACATGAAAATTCGCATAATTTGGGCATCCACTTAATTGTGCCTAAGCATTTTCGTACAAATGTGTCTAATTAACCAGAATCTGCCATATATATATTTTTAAGCTCTCATGCATTTATTTGAACAATGTATCAAAAAAAATAGATTTAGAACCTTAGTCAAGGAGCATCTTAAATTTCTCCCTGCTTAGATATAATTACGTAAGTAAAAATTCCAGTTAACCTTATATAGCAGCAATTATGCATTTCAGGTCGCAAAAAAAGGACGGCAGCAAAATCTCTCACATTTTATTAGTTATACAATTTTTTTTGACAAGCAGAGAGGGTAGGGAGTGAAACGGATGGAGTCCTGAAATTCCACTAAGACATAATTTGCCCCACGGTACTACGCCCTAACCAACAGATACAATACATTTGATATATCTGATACATGCCCCCTGATACAGTTCAACCCCAAGAGAGTTCTTATTTGAAAGAGTATCCACATTATCTTGTCTTTAATTTCATAAATCCCAAAACTGATCTGAATAGTACCACATCTAAAATGTAAGGTGATATAAGCTAAATTATAGATCAAGATATTATGACCTTTATCTTAGTGGTAGTCTACTTTCGGTGTATGAAAGTAGTCTTAACTCGTTTTCGCATCTTGGTCGTATTACTAAGGGAACATGGTTGGCCACACCTTGTCCCAAATCCTCTGATACACTACTTTTGATAATTCCCACTTTCGAACTGCGGACTTGGCATAATCACAGACATTTCGCTGGTATAGTAATCAGCATCATCAATGAGTCTTGTCATTCTTAGAACCAAGTGACAACTCG